TAGGGATTTTAGTCATTTACCCAATACCAAATCCAGCCTAATTTAGTACTTTTTCAGGCTACACATGAACAGCGACCCTAATACCAAAATTCAACTACTATCTGTTCACCCAAATCCAAATTGTACCAAATGTAGTACTATCTAGTACTTTTCGAACAATTATAGAACACTTTTCCAAACCACATCAAACCAAATTAAGTACTATTTCGTACTTTTCGTACAATTACAGTAAATATTTCCAAAACCACTTCCATATATCAAATACCAACAGAGACCTCAATATTATACAGTACTTTTCGTGTATTGTAAAACACATTTCCAAAGCTCTCTTTTAATCACAAACCTACCACCAACAGGGATCCAAGTACAAAATTAAGTTTCATCCGTTCACCCTTAACCAAACTGTTGCGAATTTAGTACCATTCAGTACAGTTCGCACACTTAGTATACTTTTCCAAAACCACCTTCACATATCAAACTTATTTTCCAACCTTGATTCTCATACTTAATTTAACTCTATCCGTTCAAATAATACCAAAAGGTATCATTTTAGAAGTTTAGTACAATTTTAGAACATTTCATAAAAATTTAGATTTAAAAAAAAAAAACACTTTGGTGTCTTTTTCCTGCACTCCATTAATGGCTCCATTCATTCAATTTCGAGCATTGTGAAGGCTTGAAAGCAGATTCAAGGGTTTTCGGAATCCAAAAATACGAACTGCGGTAAAGTCAATAATAACTTTAGCAATGGTAAATGTTTCTAAGATTTCTAAAATATAACTATGACATTTGGACCTTCAAAGTAACCAAACTATAGTCTAACAATATTTGCAAACATAGTTTATAATACCAAACTATAGCCCATATGCTGGTATATTATGGCTAAAACTCACGTATAAAAAATCGTAAAATATTCAAAATTTTCCATTTTATATAGGACATTTATTTTATACATTTGCCATGACTGCATATTTGTGTCACATTTCTCTTTTGCCATTCAAAAATGTCAAGACCTTACAATTGATCAATCAATTAAAGATAACCTATTGAATGATTCATGCAATATTCATATTTAAATTATGCCCACATACATACATTCTATTATTCACAATGTAGCATTGAACCAATATATTTTTACCTTTCAACCGCAATTGGTGTTTTTTTTTTCCTTTGAACGAATTCAATCTTATTATCCTCTATAATACAAATACAAACATACAATCAAACTTCAGTTAACATCCATTATATGAGATAGATACACGCAACCACCGATAAGTTCAAACGAAGATAATGTAGACATCGAGAATAACATTCGGACATTTTCCTATGCAAATACAAAACCACAAAGACAAGCGACCGAACGAACGAAGAGAAGAAGAGTTCAGCTGGTCAAGCAGCAACTAAAAAACAACCAACCCATCAAACATGACAGTTAAAAAAAATTGCTTTGGTCATCACAAGGAATCTTCCTTCTGCTGAAGGTATGAGAGGCATGGCAGCAGAATAGTAAATATGCAAGTGCGTGTGTTTGACAATATCAAGGAAGAATTCACACACAAATACATATGCATGTGAGTGTATGGGTGTGAGCCACACAGTTTTTTTATAAATAATGATAGAATGCTGAACACAAAATGCATTTACCACATGTCAAGTGCATCTCATAATAATAATGGCCAACTTTGACTATGAGTTGACCAAGTAGCCAAACACATCTACACTACCCACTACAAAAATACATATGTATCTGAACAGTACCCACTTAGGTGCAATCTTCGTTTCCATACAGACACCCACCAACCACTGAAACTTGAAAAAATGTATTTTCTCGGCAATCGAGACATGAAAGTTTTAGTCCAGGACAGAGGCAGAGAGATCGTTAGCAGAATGTATGTGGGAAAATGTTATAAATAAACTAAATTACCTTATTTTTGATGCTTAGAGTTTTTGGTTTTCTTTTGCTTGGGTATAACACACCGTATACTATGAGGGTGGGTAAGGAAGTTTGCAAAATTAAAACCGGTAAAAAAAGTCTAAAAGTCGGGCGGGGCCGACTTTATGATACCCCACACCCCTTTTCATATTTAGTAGAGCTTCATATAAAAATACAAAATACAAATATAACAAATCGAAAGAACAATATATATGGGAGCTATGGCTATATCTGAACCGATTTTCACCAAATTTGACTTACTTATTATACCCTTCACCATAGTATGGAGGGTATATTTAGTTTGTCATTCCGTTTGTAACACCTCAAAATATACATTTTAGACCCCACAAAGTATATATATTCCAGATCAGCATAAAATTCTATCTCGATTTAGAGATGTCCGTCCGTCTGTGGAAATTACTCTAGCTTCTGAACGAATTTAAGTCGGTTGATAAAATGTTTCTCAAATATATTATGTCTGCGGAGCTTATGGTATTGAAAATGGTAGATCCACCTTTTTGGTATAGCCCCCATATAATGGCACCTCCTGATATTCGGTATTTTGATGATTTTAGCGACATTATTCACCGGGATTTTTTCAAATCTGGTATTTGAAGTTCGTAATGGATACTACAGCCTAATGCAGAAAATTATCTGTGCAGTCCACGTTTTGGTATGGCCCCCATATAATAGTACCTCTCTATATTTGGTATTTTGATAATTTTAGCTACATCATTCACCTATTTTTTTTTTTTCAAGTTTCGCATTTGAATATTGTAATGGCTTATGACAAAAGTTGCCTATGCAGGTCCATGTCGTCGTATAGACCCTAATATAATTGCTACAATCGGCATTTTTAAGATTTTAACAAAATTTTTAACGAATTTTATATTTTTGAAAATTTCCAAATTCGTTCCAAGTGGTGGAGGGTATTCAAAATTCGGTCCGGCCGAGCTTACAGCTTTTTAACTTGTTGCTCTGCTCAATTTGGTGTAAGTACCAAATTCCATCCCATTTGGACTAATATTACACGTTTTGAGTACAATAAAAGAAAAATCGGACGAAGATATGTATGGGAGCTATATCCAAATCTGAACCAATCTCTATAAAAATAGTGAATGGTATTTCTATGCTGTATTTGATACATTTCCTCAAATATCGTTGTGACAGAGTGCATATTACGGCTGCGGAGGACAAAAATATCAAATCGGATGAAAAATATATATGGGATCTATAGCTATATCTGGACCGATTTTGATAAAATTTGACATACTTATTTCCAGGCTTAATTTAGTCGTATATGCAGAATTCCATACTATTTGGGCCTATATAACACGTTTGGTGCACAATGAATGCAAATCGGACGAAGATATATATGGGAGCCTTGAGTTATGATTATTCTAACTTTTGACCCTTGATCTTGTGTTAATAGAAATATTGATATCTGTAAAATCTGATTGGAATCTGATAGTAATTTCGCCTTTTATTAGCTTCATTGATATAGGAAATTTTGACCCTTTGTGGAGGAGGTACCATAAGGAGTAGACCGAAACATTCCATCTTCACAGCAGATCTTGTGTTAGTAAGTAATGGGATATGTGAAATATGAAGATAACTGGGAGGTACCAGAAGAAATGTTCCTATCTCTTATATCTTTATAGCAGATCTTGTGTTGATAGAAATATTGAGATCTGTAAAATCTGATTGGAATCGGATGTTAATTTCGCGTTTTATGAGTTTCATGGACAATTAAAATGTTTACCCTTTGTGGAGGAGATACCAGAAGGAATGGACCGATATATTCCATCTTCACTCCAGACTCCAAATGTCCAAAAACGGATTTGATCCCAAAAGACCTAGGGTCTGAGAGTGTGAAATATAATTTATATGAAATAATGAGTTAAATGGAAAATTGTCTGGAAAGAGGATTTATGTCCTTTCGTAAACATAGTACCCAGATGAGATTCAATCAAAATAAATGTCAGTCAATAAATAATAAATACCTTGTTACTTAATTGGTAGAGCTTGGTATCCTTTGCAATTACCAAGTGGATGGTGAATGGAGGAAGACAAATATAAACCTGGAAAGAAATACAAAAAATAGTGAAGTTGAAAACCAGTCAAGTAAATCGAGTATTTAATACCACACTCCATTTTTAGCAAAGCTTTAAAAGCTGCATTATGTATATATTATTAGCACAGATCTTAAACATTTGGTACACGATATTTGAAATCTGAATATATAATTTCAAATCTGATACCAAAATCTCAAATTTCAATACGATTATTCCGTGGGCACATATCGAACAAAAAATTCTCCCAGCAATTTTCTTACAACGATTCAAGAACAACTAGAGAGACATGACATCCAAATCGGATGAAACATATATATGGGAGCTATCGAATCGATTTTCACCAAACTTGATGTACCTGCTTCTAGACTGAATTCTGTCGGATGTACCAAAATTCTGGTCATTTAGACTTATACTGGCCATTTGGTACACAATTAACCCGAAATCGGTTTGATATATATTGCATCTATATCAAAATCTGATTAAATTTTGCAGAGGTATTATGGGCTGTATTTGATATCTGGTACCAAATATCATTGTTGTCGAATGCATATTACTTTAAATCCCAAATCGGATAAAACATATATAAGGGAGCAATAGCTATATCTGAACCGATTTTCACCAAATTTGTAGAAAATGCATCTACATGTATTCTTCTATCATGGAAAACATGAAAAATATGTGATGTCATTGTTTATTTACAGTGAAAAAAGTTTCCGCACCATCGGCGTTGACGTTTTGTGAAATATAATAGCGATGTATTATTTTCGCAAACAAATCTCCACTGCGAAATTACGCATTAATAAAAGTTTCCCTCAATGTTAAGATAAAAAATTGCAATCTACTCCAAATAAATTATAATAACGGTAACTCAAGCAGAAAATAACCACATGGCATTGCCATACTCAAACTATCGAATGCAACAGCTGTTTTTAAATGTCAGTGTTTGACATTCTTCCATTCTCTCTTTCTACATTTTCACATTTTTCCATATGTTAGCATAATACCAAGCATTCGGGAATTCATTCAGTTTGTTCTTTAGTTTATCAATTAAAATCTTTATAAAACACCAAAGACAAAATGTCCTTTATGAAAGGTAGAGCTCCCGTACGCCGTACACTGGAGTACTTGAATGCTGGACGTTTGGTTCTGAAGGATAAAGTGAAAATCTTCAGTGTTAACTATAATACCTACGGTGAGCATCATGATGGTGCCCGGTAAGTTGATACGTAACAATGCTGCTGAGGGGACATGAATTAAAACAATTTTATTTTTGCAGTGATTTTGTTTTTTGGAATATACCCCAGGTTCAGTATAAAAACCCTGCAGTCCAAGTTGTTACCTTTAAGAATATGACACCCTCACCATTTGTTCGTTGTTATTTTGAGGATGGTCGTGATATTCTAATAGATATCGATAGCAAGAATCGCCATGAAATTATGGACCATTTGATGAAGGTTGTCGGCAAAACGAAGTAAGTATGAGTCTGTAGTGTGCAGCGGAACAATAATGGAAGATTTTTTTAAAATTATTTTGATAATTTGGTTTTTCCACAATTATATTGTTCGTATAGAGGTTATAACATTGTGGTCCGTCTTTATCGGCTATTAGCTAGAACAGGAACATGCAAAAAATAGATGGCAGTACATTTCGGAGGAATCAGTGCTAAGACAATATTTAGGAATCACAACATAGAACTAAAACCCTTATCCTTAAACACCACCAATTAGTAAATCCTTACAACGGGCTGATTTCAAAAATCTTTACTAATATCGTCCTTTAACGATAATATAAAGTGTATATCTGGACTTACTATATACTTTTCTGATACAAAACCAGGCTCTAGATGCGGTTAAATTTATTTTTTAAATTGTTTTCATGAAAGCTGACGCCGGTTTCAAGCCCACATTTGTGAGGGTCCTGTACTATATGTATAACCAGGATGGTTTTGGTGCAATAGAGTTCATGATGGTGCAGTCGACGCAATTCCTATTGGGCACGAATTGACAAAGGTGTGCCTCTGGTTACAGCCCATAAAAGTAGCCGAATTTTTGAATCTGGAGTTAAAATCATATTAACAGAAACCGAACGAAACACTCTGACGCGGTCGCAGAATTGATGGAGCAATACAGTTTGTACATCACCCTCGGATATCAACCACCTCCCATAGCAAGTGAACAATGAGAGCCACAAGAGAACAATGAGAGCAACGTGACACGTGTGACACAATTTGAGTTAGACCCGAATTGATAGCATTGCGTAGAACACTTTCCCATGACACGCTGCACCTATTTAACAGGGCACACAACCTACTCAGCTAAATCATGTTTGGCAAAACCATACAGCTTTCTCCTTTTTTAACTTGGAGTTAGAAGCAGAGACAGATTAAAGTTGAATCAGTACGGCAGTACGAGCGGCTACAACAACAACACCTTTTAACTGACAAGCCAAGGTTTCAAACTTGGCTCGAAGATTGTGCTGTGGACATTCTGGAACAGAAATCCTTCGGACAAGTGCTACGAACTTTTTTTTTAGCAACGACGTTGTCTGCTTCTTTGATTTCAAGAATAATATGTGCCATCTTTGTAGCAAGCTTTATAAGACTTGACTGTTTGGTCTGCATTTGCAACGTCACCTACAGTAAACTCTGAGGGAAGATGTCTGATACGACGCAGTACACCTCGCCTTTCGTTCTTGTAGTGTTCAAATAACCGATGCACTTCATGGCTGCAGTCACCATTAAATATGTCTTGTAATACGATGGTAGCAACATTTTAAAACTAACTGCCTTAAATTTTGCGAGATCAGTAAAAACAAAACCAAATTCCAAGCGTTTCCAAAATTCAACAATTTTTGTATTAACCCCTCGATTTAGACTTTTTTTAACGTTTGAAATTTTCCTATCAAATGCTCTGAATATTTTATTTTGGGACTCCTGGAACGATTGCATCCCACGTTCTTATTTGTAGTATAAGTCTGGCTGATAAGAATGTTGCAGACTTTTTCCAATGTCAAAGTAAAGTATTATCTGTGAATTGCCGGCTTAAAAGATTTTTTAGTATTTTACTCACTGTTAGGAAATATCTCAATTTCGTAGCTTCTATTTTTAAAGACAATCTTCTAGCTTCTATTTTTAAAGACCTCACACATTGAAAATTTTGGACTGAAACTAGTTTCGACAGTTGTAAAAAAATTCTGATATTATACTCAAGGAAATATTTCAATCATGGTAGAATTACAAGGTAACCCTTTCAGGCCAGCTGGTATCAATTTGATATGTCAAAAAATTGTTGTAATTTGAATTCGCCTTCATTTACACATAAGAAAATTGTTGCATGATTTCAAAATTTAACAATGCTATTGATAGAAAATAGAGATTTTACGATTTTATAGAGTATGAGGGAAAAACTGTATATTCAGCATATGGTAGGCATAGGTAATACGGAGATCTAAAATTCGTGGATATTTGAAAGAAGTGAAGCAGGGAATTTCATATAGAAGATAAAATTTCATATAGAAGGTAAACCGATACATGGAATTTCATCATCTTATTTGTACGGATTTTCAACTATGTTATACACTATAGGGCTTCAACAGTGAAAGGTGAATGATTCCAAAGCATATTGGATTGGTTTGGGGAACAAAACATTGGCAATTTTTGGGGTGTGATTAAATATTGAGATAATTTTTTTATTTCAAATTGTTCGAATGTATTAAAGTTATCTATACATAAAAGACTTCCTATCTGCTATACATTTCATAGCTAAGCAAATAATATGCGTGGACTCACAGTAGACTCAGCCCCTGTATCTTCTGCAATCTTTGATCCAAATCTTAAGTAAGCCTGAGGAGTAAATATACCCTAAAGTACCTTTTAGGTAGCATGACACTACAGCGAGAAAGCTGACGATGTAGCATGTACCAGAACCACCACAAAACCTAATTGTAAAGCATCAAAACTAATTTTCCCGATATTTACTATATTACTTGTAAAGAACATTATCGCTGTTGAATATGAAATCAACGTTGCCAACGTTACCAAGACTGCATGCTGTGTAAGGATGATGAAGAGATAACAACGATTGGACATCTATTATCGCAAATGTCCTTCGTTGGCGCGCTGGAGACTACGAACACTGCATTTCCAGTCTCAGTGATTTTCAAAAATGCTATAATCAAACCAAGATGCAGAGGCTTCAGCATTACTTTCAATCGATGTTGGAAGTTTTGAATATTTGCTTTTGTAATAGAAAAAACAAAAATTTTGAAAATTTTTAATTCAATATTTTGATTGGAAAAATAATTTGCCCCAAATTTTGTACTTCAAATCAATTCGCCCTGACTACAACTTTGACATATCAAGTTTCCAAAAAAGTTGCTTTGTTGTAATTTTCGCCTATGTTGTTACCTGGTATTTCTACCATGATTTCAATACTTTAATCATGGTAGAAATACCAGGTAGCAACATAGGCGAAAATTACAACAAAGCGAATTTTCTGGAAACTTGATATGTCAAATTTATAAGCAAAGCGAATTTACTTGACATATAAAATTTGAGGCAAATTGATTTGCACCAATCAGAAAATTACATTTTGAAATACAAACAATTTTGTTTTCTTTTATTGAAATTGTAAACATTTTAGTTTTGCATAGAACTTGTGAGATTTTGCGAATTGTCATAGAAGATTTTAGTTAACTCTATCAACGTTGTTCGTATCATTTTTTTATCATAGTAAGCAATCTCCAAATCGGATATAAATGTGGGAAAAATGTTCTTCGACTTCCCCAGGTACTAATGTGCATGGATATCTTAAGCTCATTGTAAACTTATTTTACATATCTCTCTTGTAGATCAGTTATCAATGGTCGTTGTGATGTGTGTTGTGAAATTTGGTTTCGGCTTTGTGACAAAATTCTGGCCGCCCGGACAAAAAACAAATCTAATTGCGGCTAGTTACCCTCCAAATAAGGCATATTTGGTGCAATCACAATTTTGGCAAACTACTCAACTCGATTTGTGCGATTCACATAAACATTCAAAGAAAGTCTTTGGAGATTGTTGAATTCTATCCGGGATTCTAAGGTCTTTGTATTGGTAGAAACTGGCAATGTCTTAAAATGTGGTGTATACATTGATGCTTGTGTGTGGCTAATGGATATGGAATCCTAAATAAAATCGTACTTCGATTTCACTCTGGTCATTTGTTTAAAATATTCAAGCCACATAATGTTAATTGTTTTATGAGGACATCTAGGAGTTCGATTCTTATGTCTTAAAATAATGTCAACTAAGGATCATTTTGGTGTAGCTACGTTTCAGCTAACGTTTCAGTCGTATTTTCAGCAGAATCATGGAAAATGTTTAACAATATCCGTGCTCTGATCTCATAGAGCGTAAAAACGTAGACTTACACCAATTTTCTCGATTAACTCTCAGTTGCCTTATCTAAATTTTCAAATCGCTCAAAAATTTCTTTATGTGCATATTTGTGGCGAATTTAAATTACAACAATTTGTTTGGCATATCAAGTTGCCACCAGCTGGCCTGATAGGGTTACCTTGTAATTCTACCATGACTTTAATAGAGCAGTATGAAACAATGTGTCCTAATTCTGCATCATGATATGGATATTAAGTTTACAATGAAGGTTGTTGGGTAGTTTGGATATTAAGATTGCGATTAGTTTACAATGATTTGGCTCGACAGTATATTACTTTATTTAGAGTTGTAAAAAAATGACTCTTAAATATATCTGCGGCTTGAGACCTAAAAATCGTATAAAAACTCAAATTTTAAGGATCGGTAATGTTCAAAATTTCTTTCTATATTGCCCTCAACATCTTTCCTATTTCTGTATTCATTTGAGTCAATTATTTATTCATTTGTTTCTTTTTCCTTACAGAGAACAATTGGATGCCGAGGCACGTTTGGCCGAGAGTAAAGATAATCCTGCCAACTTTGGTCACGGCTGTAATCGCCACTGCATTTGTGAAATACCCGGCCAAGTACCATGTCCAGCATTAGTTAAATTACCCGATCATATGCGTGGCAAACACATATTTGCTCCTAAATAAACTGTGCTACGTTTTTCAAAACATTTAAATTGCTGTTTTGTTTTTTCCTTTGTTTTATTAACTTTACGAGATTAGCGCTATGTTGTGAGTTTCTTTCTTTAAGGTAGTCTGTGAATGAGGTGAATGAGAATACACAAATAAATGGATGGAACTAATATTTATAAAACGATACATCTTTTTTATTTTGAACTATAAGTACGGCTACTGGGGTGGTGCAACAATCACTTCTATCTCCGTTTTGGTCTCTGATGCCGGCTGTATGGACCCGAACTAGTTTTGTGATATGGACGTCGTTGCGTTGTGGTTGCAGTCTTGGCATCGCGATCTTTATTGAATTGGTATTTTTGTATTAGCGGTATGACTGGTCCCGCCGTTGGTTGACTAAAATCAATATCATCACCTTGTGATTCAATGGCTTTGAGTTTCTGCTCGATGGCTTTTATGGCTTCTTCGCGTGTTATTTTGCCTTCACGTTTGCCAGTGCCCAAGGCGGGTATTTCAATTTTGGGCTTCGGTCGTTCAAACTCATCCTACAAATTCAGGGTCAGATTTTTAGGACAAATTTCTCATTTTAACTAAATTTTTATGGTTTATACTTACATAATTTATATTTTTGGCTAATCTAACTGCAATGGGACGATTTAAGATCACATGGCCATTTAATTTTTCCAAGGCCACCATGGCGGAACTAGACTAAAAATGTGCAACAACAAAAGAAATTTCCAGATTAGTTATGCCCCAGTTTCACAAAACATATGTTGCCGTGGTCTACTTACCTTAGTGAAGGTAACAAACGCATAACCCCTAGATTGTCCCTGCAGGGGACCACCCTTATGGAAAAGCATATCAAATTTTTCTATCTCGCCACATTTTTGCATAACTTTCAGGAGGTGAAACCCATATTTCGAAAAAGAAAAGATTGAAACATTTGCAATTAGCTTTTGACGGATGGAAAGCAAACCAAATTTAGTGCTTCAACTTACTCGCTTAATCTGGGGTCTAAATTACCAACCCATATACGTCGGTCATCGGTTGTTGATGCAGTACTTGTAGAGGCCTTAAAATGTTAAAAATAATTGTTAAATTTTATTAAATAAATGGAATAAAATTTTATATTTACCATAGTCGCGTAAATGCTATAAATAAAGGCAACGAATACACACACACTGCTACAAAGCTAAATGACACTTCAGGCAACGTTGCCAGATGAAAATACATGTTCTTTTGACAACACAAGGATAGCTCACATAGCAACAATTATGACACACAACGTTGACTTACAATAGGAGTATTCAATGTTTGAATTCGTTAAGGGTGAGAGTACATAAAATGCTTATTTGACTGGCTTAAGTTATTGGCGGGCTTCTTTGGAAAAAAACAAAGGAGCGTACGGCAGAAAAAAAATGCGTTTTAGTTATTTTCACCTTAAGTCTCGGTCTACACACAATGCGTTTTAGGCGAAGGAGTAAATTACTCCCACGTCGCTATTTTACGTAATAATTTTTTTGATTGAAAAATGAATATATATTGGAGCTATACCCAAATATTAGATGATCTCGATAAAATTTTGCAAGTGTATTTCCGAGCTCTATAAAATATCTGGTACCAAATATCATTGTTGTCGAATGCGTATTACGAATGTGAGGGACCTAAAGACCAAATCGAATGAAATGCATATATGGGAGCTAAAGCTATATCTGAACAGATCTCCAAATTTGATGTACAGGTCAATGGGACTGATATCGATATATATGGGAGCTTTAACTTAATTTGAAGCGATCTTGATAAAATTTGGTAGAGGTATTTCTGGACTGTACCTGATATCTGGTACCAAATATCAAATCGGATAAAACATATATATATCAGAGCTATATCTTTATCTGAACCAAATTTAGTGTACTTGCTTCTAGACTTAATTCAGTTGAATGTGACAAAATTCAGAAAATTTGGGCTGATATTGGCCATTTATTGCACAATTAAACCGAAATCGGCTGAAGATTTATATGGGAGCTATATCAATATTTGAACCGATCTTGATCAAATTTTGCAGTGGTATTTCTGGGCTGTATCTGACATCTGGTACCAAATATCATTGTTGTCGAATGCATATTAGGAATGTGAGAAACTTAAACTCAAAATTTGGGCTTATATCAGCAATTAGGTGCACAATTAACCCGAAATCTGTTGAAGATATATGGGAGTTATATCTAAATATGATCCGATTATCACCAAATTCAATATTGTTCATCTTTGGGCCAAACAAATATTGTTTTAATTTCATCTCAATCGGATAATAAATGCGACCTGCATATTGTTCACAAGAATACATGGACAGCCGGACTGACACGCATAAATCGACTCAGAAAGTGATTCTATGAAGATCCTCAAAAGTAACTATGGGTCTATCTCGCTTCCTCCTCCATGTTACAAACAAATGCACAAATACATAATACCCTTACAACTATATGGTGTAGGATATAAAAATCATTGCTTGTCTATACTTGGTACTGGTGACAAAGTCAATAATAGCCTGCAGTGATTGAATGTGTACATTTCCTACAGCACAAAATACATGAATCGACGCAAAAATGATGAGTTCCTTAATTCAAAAACAGTTTCAACTGTTTGCGCCACAAACTTATTAACAAATTCAAAAAACACCGGCTTCAATACATCAGCATCTTATTTAGATGGATGTAGTCGGTACCATGGTACAATGAAGAGAAGGTAGGTCAACTTTGAAAAAATTGCAAGTATAGAGGTCTACCTGTTTGGCTTGTAATGTCAGAATTACTATCAAAACAATAAAAAAGCAAACAACTTGTTGCATTGATTTTGCATAAATAATTTAAAACCGCGAAAACTGAATGAATGGTCAAAATTTCTTTTCAATATCATGTTCTATATATCTCTTATGGTTTATTTCGCGACAAAAACTGTAGATTTTGTCGATGCATTCGTTGCAATAAGCATTTTGAAAACACCCGAATTTGAATATTTTCTGAACAATTTTTTACTATTGAAAAGAAGACTCACACATAAGCAAATGAAGTTGACATATTAAGCCAGATAAATAAAAAAATTTAAATCATATGGTAGTTCTGCCCTACCTTGAATTCATTGTACCATGGTCGGTACATTATTTTCTTTATACAAAGTTTCATTACACATTTCCACAGATCAAGAATTGAGCTGTATTAAATTTGCTGACACTTGTCGTACGATCTAAAATAAGATGCCCCTAACAAAATATAAATATGCTTTGCAACTGAATGGCAGCTATCAGCTGTTACTAATCACAACAAATACAAAATCATAACAAATAAGAGAACAATAACAAATATTTCCCCAATTTTGGGTTAAAAACATTAATTAAATGTTTTAAGTGTAGAAGTACAAAATATTGGACAAAAATGGAAATTACATTGGCTTTAATAAAACCCCATGTTGTACGTAACACGGTAGCTTTACGCCATTTACTCGATTTGATCAAGGACAACTTCCAAGTGCTGGAATCCAAAGAAGTTCACATTACGAAACAATTGTCGGAGAAATTTTATGCTGAGCATAAAGGAAAATTCTTTTACAATCGACTGACAACTTTTATGGGAAGGTAACAATTGAAAGAATGTTTGTAAGATAACTTGATTGTATTAATGGATAGCTCTTCCTCTTGGTGTCTTTTGCAGTGGTCCATCATATGCCTTGATTCTACAATCGGCAGACAGCATTGCCAAATGGCGTTCTTTGATGGGACCAACTAAGGTGTATAAAGCAATTTACTCGAATCCCGATTGTATTCGCGCCCTTTATGGACTGTCGGATACACGTAATGCTTGCCATGGTTCGGATAGTACAGAATCAGCAATGAAAGAAATATCAATATTATTCCCAGAATTTAATATGACCGAAGCATTGAATGCTGAAGATCAAAAAAGATGAAATATTGTTTATGTTATGTTATAAGTTATATTGTTAATGGTTATTAAAGTGTTAAGTGCCACAAAAATGTCGTACCATTTTCAAATGTTAAATGGGAACCTGTCAAATATCTTTTTATACCCTACACCACAAGGTGGTCAGGGTATTATGTCTTTGTGCATTTGTTTGTAACAGGCAGAAGGAAACGAGATAGACCCATAGTTCCTTTTGATGATCTGCATAGAATCACATTCTGAGTCGATTTATCCGTTCGTCCGTCTGTCCGTCCGTCCGTCCGTCTGTCCATGTATTTTTGTAAACAAAGTACAGGTCGCATTTATTGCCCGATCCAGATGAAATTTTGCAAAGATCTTTTGTTTGGCCTAAGGACGAACCCTATTGAAATTGGAGATAATCGGTAAAAATTTAGATATAGCTCCCATATATATCTTCGTCCGATTTGCCTTTTATTGTGCACCAAGCGTGTAATATCAACCCGAATTGTATGGAATTTTGCATATACATCCAAATTAGGCCTGAAAATATGTATGATCGAAATCGGTTCAGATATAGCCATAGCTCCCATATATATTGTTCATCCGATTTGTTATTTTTGTCCACCGCCGCCGTAATATGCACTATGCAACAACAATATTTGGGGAAATATATCAAATACAGCTCAGAAATATCTTTGCCAAATTTTATCGAGATCTGTTCAGATTTGGATAAAGCTCCCATATAAATCTTTATCCGATTTCAAATTAATTGTGCACCAAATGGGCAATACAAGTCCGAATTTAAAAGATACAAATGCTTCGTCATATTTAGTCCTTTGAACTTTAAATTATAATTATAATCATAGCGTGTATGATTGAATTCTCCCATAAAAACTTTTAATTGTTATGTGGAGCTCTACTTAATTAGCAAAATGGTGTAGGGTATCATAAAGTCGGCCTCGCTCGACTTTAAGACTTTCTTTACTGGTTTTTAATTGGTGATTAACTACTTCTATGAATGAAAAAGCATTCGTGCTTTGCTAGTGGAAGAGTGTGTCCTTCGCAATATGGATGAAGGCACCGGTGATGCAGTATTCTGCCCTAACCCAATCATTAACACTCATATAAGTTTGAGTTGGAGGTCGGAGAAGGCAGCAGACTGATATCTGCCTCAAGATGGGACAACAGTGATCCTGACTGCATTACCAGATATCTGCCCTCAAGATGGGACAACAGTGATCCTGACTACTCTAGACTATTCCCAAAATTTTTATTTGAACGCAATGGACCAAATGGAAAGTAGTTGACGAGAGAAGCAGTTACCGAATAAATGATTTGTGTAATTTATCGAAACAATAATTATATCCCATAATATTAGTTGTGTTCCAGTACTTTTTTAGCAGTAAAACTAGCAGAAGAGAGAACAGTTCGAAATGTCATTCTCATTTAGGTTTGCTCAAAAAATAAGGGAACGGAAAATTTGCAGAAATGCGATAAAATGTCAACATTCAAAATTCCAAAAGTAAACAGCCTAAATCGGACTGGTGAAACCTTACTGAAAAGAGCGCCAACATTTGAAAATGAGTATTGAAGACGATAAGTTAAAATTAATAATTTATAATAATAATTAATAATCTGATTCCTCATTCAGCTAGTCCTCTTCACTGCTGGAATCATCCAAAAGTGAATACATCAGTTGCTCCATATTTTCTCTTTTTGTTTTTTGCACGACAAATATTAGTTTTTCCTTTAGTTTTCAAGTTGATCATTTTCTTTATTGAAATGTATCAATACATTTTTCAACCTTGTTAGCCCTGCCAATTAAATGTCAAATTTACAATATGCACATTTCTGCTCGGCCAAATTCATGTAGCTAAAACAAGCAGAAATGTGCACCACTCAGCGCCATTTTTTTCTCGAGAGAGCGGCAAGTTTTGCTAGATTTTGGAGTATGGGAACGCGTTGTAGCAGAATTAGTGCTAATTAGTACTAATTTGCAGGTTCTGGAACACAACTATTATATATACATGATAAGCACATATCGGTTTTATTATATAAATCGGCAGGCTAGCCCAAATGTTTTAATGAAATTGACCACCATTCACGAAAAAGCGGTTTACGGAATGGATTATAGTTTTGGGTCGGTGATTACGTTTGTAACATGGAAGTGGAAACGAGATAGACCCATAGTTACATTTGAGGATCTTCATAGAATCAATTTCTGAATAGTGGACCTACAATACCAAAGGTCCTACAGACATAACACATATTTGAGTAAAATTTTGTCAACCGACTTCATTTCCTTCAAAAGCTAGAGTGATTTCCACTGACGGACAGACGGATAGACGAGCGGACATCCCTAAATCGACATAGAAATTTATGCTGATTAAGAATATATATACTTTGTGGGGTCTAAAATATATCTTTCGAGGAATGACTAACTTAATATATAAAAAATATATAAAAAATAATAATATAAAAAAAATATATTATAAAAAGAAAATTAACTCAAAAATTAATACTATGTTATATCAAGATATTGTGACCAGTGACATCTATTGTCAAATTGTTGCAATTCAATATGTTACAATATGTTGTCTTTGCTAACAATCTAGTAGATAATTAAACCATTCGCTATGGTACAAATTTGTTATTCAACTCTACAATATGGTTTACATGGAGAGATCCATATAAAGAGAAAAATTGCTGGTGGTGAATAGAAAATTATTTACCTTATTTCGTTTTTAAACTAAGATACAATCCATAGTGAAATACTGCCCACAAAAGTCTCCACAGCTTTTATGTTCCACACAAAGTTAGACTTACTTTGCTCAAGCTTTTCACGAGAATTTATCGCTGTACCGAACTTTAAATATTTTTTTTCATTAGAGACACACACACACGCGACATTTCAGATACACAGAACACAACATCACACAATATAAGCGAAAAATGGTATTTTGCAACCAACAATTTTAAGGAATATTTTTAAGAAATTAAATAATTTAATTAAATTAGAAGTTTATTTAACCGAACGAAAAATTCTTATTGCACCCGATCACATTTTCCGAAACCGCACCGATTTATTTAAATATTCCTTTTAATATTTTTGCATAACTTATAAATTTACGAAAAAACCAACATCTGAACACATTGATCTTCAAACAAAACAGTAGTTATGAATATATTATTTGATAACACTTTTCGAAACCGTACCGAGTCATTTTACTTTTGCATTTATTTCACACTTTAAATCCGTTTATGAAATTCCCGAGAAAACACGTCCGTCCATTTTAATCGCCGCCGCTGAACTGATTTCGTTTGTTTCATTTTCTAATTTGCCTACCATCAATCTTAAGGAAGTGAAAAAGAAACAGCAATATAGTCAACAATGTTGCTCGAAAATAAAAATGCGCCAATTTTGCGAATTTTGGCGCGAACTCATTTCCCCTGCATAAGCATAAGATCATTGCCCATTAAAAGGTAATGGAGTTTATGTTGTGCAAGCAGGACCTACTTAAAATGAGAAAAGAGTAAGCTATATAGTTGCTGTAACTCGAGATCTCATTCTTAGCTTAAAAACTGGAAGAGGAAACTATACATAAAGCTTACTCATACACACACACTTGTCGCGAACATGTTTGATGCATGAAACAACAAAGCATTTTTTCTGATTAGAGACGGAAAAGGATATAAACGCCTTTTTATTTGACTCACGACACACTACGCATGGCATACAAGTTGTTGGTTGCAACACGTTGGAAACTTAATGTTGCAGAACTGTTGTGAATGTGTATTGTATTAAAATTAAGAGAGTGGGGGTTTTCTGCAAAAACTTAAAACAATTTACTTTATTTCTTAATGCTCCACCTCATTCAGTATTGCCAACTCTATTTAATTCATAATAAGAAAGCGATTTTAAAATTTTGTGCGTTTTTATAAATCACATATCGTCGTGTGCAAAAAGAGGCTCACATCTCAATCTCAATGAAGGTCCAGAATCTGGAATTTCTTATATAATTCAAAGCTCTCTATTAATAAAATCTACTTGGAGTGTTCCACAACCCAAACTGAATAGTAGACAGACATTCCTAGCTATGTCGGAGAGTGAAATTATGAGGAAATTTTCCGCGAATTCAGAATTAAAACTTTTTTGAACTAAAATAGGAGATATATGGTACATAAGGTATAAAATTTCTTTGCTTACAGACTAATGACGAAATTTGATGTAGAATAATTCTTCCATTGACACTATCATCAAAAAAAGTATTAAGGGAGATAATTTTTTAAATTATCAGCAAAAAACGTAACTTATATATATGCTTTGTTTAAGATATATTGAAATTCTACACAAGGACTTCTTTGTGGGTGCTTTACCCCCTCGATATCGTATATCCCCCATGCAACGGTACCCCTATTATTCGCTATTTTCATGATTTTAGCGACAGTTTTAGTGAAATAGTTTCAAATTCCTTATTTATTATTCGAAATGGAAAAAAATGCGCATGTCGGGCCACGTCTTCATATAGCCGCCATATAACGATACCTCCCGATATTCTGCATTTTCTAAAACCTGAAACACAAAATTGTCTATGTAGGTTACTGTCTTCAAGGAGCCCACATATAACTGCGCCTCCCTTTATTATGTGTTTTAATGATACTAGCGACATTATTTACCGGAATCGTTTCAAATTTCGAATTTTAAGTATGTAATGGGACAACAAATTACTTATGCAGAACCACGTCTTCATATTGTCCCCATATAACGGTTTTCCTTTGAGCGGTATTTGTTGACGGAATTTTTTGGGAATTTTTCAAGTTCCTTTAAAATGGTACAGGGTTTTAAAAGTTCGGCCCGAAATTAGCTGCTTTTTTACTTGTTAGCTGTACTTTCATATTCAATTTCAATTTTGTCGCACATTGTAATTGACCAATCACAATAAATTTTACTATGGAAAACATAAGTTAAATTCATCTCACTACACCTCCCGATATTCCTTATTTTAAATCCCCTGTAGCACAAAAATTGACAATGTATGATAGCGCCCATTTCCCGCTACTGTCAGCTTTATGGTATTTTTAAGACTTGGCTGAGGGATTCAGTAATATCATTGTCTTCTGTACAAATTTTGATATTATATAAAATATGTAAAGCAGATTTCAAATCAAAAATGAATCAATCATTCTCAAAGACAAATAAATTACCACACCAATAATACTTCGCACGCATTGGAAAAAAATTATTTTATTTTTCCTTTTTCTTTCGCTTCACACATTTTCGATGTTACCATAACAAAAAAAGCAACGAATGTAAGTCAAATCAGTAGAATAGCAAACATTTTTGTGTGATTCGTCAATTATAAATTATTGGTGAAGAAATCGTTAAAATGACAATAAATCGAAAAATCTGGCAACACTGATCGTGACATAAACTGAAATATTCTATGAGAAATTATCAAGTTTATGCGCAAAAAGAGAGAGGAAAGAGCAACTTTATCTCCGCTCTCTTACCAAAACCAATAAATTAGAGATGAAACTCATAAGTTTTTGAAACATGATTTATGGTTGTCTCGTTCTGTTTTAGCAGGGGTGCTCAAGAAGAAATATCTCTTTTCAGTCAAATTTCTCTTTGCTTATTTAAATCAAGAACAAAACAGTGTTAAGTCATTATTTATACAAATATTTTTTATCCATTTGCTTTATAAATTATTTTGGAAAACATTCCTATTTAAAAACAATTAAATAGAACCGTAAAATATAAAGAACAAGTTAAAAAGCAGTAATAATACCCTCCACCATTTGCAACGAATTTGGAAATTTTCAAAAAATAAAATCCTTAAAAAATTCTGTTAAAATTTTAAAAATACCGAATATAGCCGTTATTTTGGGGTCTATACGACGTGGACATACATAGGCATTGTTTGTCATAAGCCGCTACCATATTCAAATTCGAAACTTGAAATAAACGGTGAATAATGTAGCTAAAATCATCAAAATACCGAATATAGGGAGGTACCGTTATATGGGGGCTATACGAAGACCTGGACCTGCACAGACAATTTTCTGCCACTGAATGTAGTTCCCATAACGAACTTCAAATACCAATTTTAAAACAATTCCGGTGAATAATGTCGCTAAAATCATCAAAATACCGAATATAGGGAGGTACCGTTATATGGGGGCTATATGAAGACGTGGACCTGCACAGACAATTTTCTGTCTTAGGGTGTAGTATCCATTTTGAACTTCAAATACCAAATTTGAAACAATTCCCCTGAATAATGTCGCTAAAATCATCAAAATACCGAATATAGGGAGGTACCGTTATATGGGGGCTATATGAAAACGTGGACCTTCATGGCCCATTTACGAACTTAACCTGCCTACTAGAAAAATAAACATGTGTGCAAAATTTTAGCCACCTATCTCAATTCATTCGAAAGATAGCGTGATTAGAACAGACAGACAGACAGACGGACAGACAGACAGACGGACATAGCTAAATCGACTTAGAATTTTACGCTGATCAAGAATATATATACTTTGTTGGGTCTGATATGAGTATTTCGAGGAGTTACAAACGGAATGACAAAGTTAATATACCCTCCATAGTATGGTGGAGGGTATAAAAATGCAACAAAGTCAAACGCTATAATGTTTACATTTTTTTTTTAATTTTATTGAATGAAAGCTAAAAAATGTCGAAAATAGCACCAAATTTTAGAATAAGTTTAGATTTGTTCGACTTGGTCACTTTTGGTATGAATTATTATCTCACCCTGTATATACTTTGTGAGGTCTAAAATGTATATTTCGATGTGTTACAAGGACAAACTAGATATAGCCTACATACTATGGTGGAGGATATAAAATATAAGAAATAAAACACACATAATTAAGTTTTTGTAAAACTTTATTTATGAAAAGTTCTTCAATTAGTAATACATTCTTCTTTCTTAAAAAAAAAATCAGACTTAAACTAAAATTTATATAATTATATTCCAAAAATATATACGTGTGTGTGTATTGGTTTCTATACATATTCTGTATATACTCAACAAAATACTTAATAAAAATATAATAATAATTAGTATATTCCAAGAGAAAATGGTTATAAAAAAGATTTCAATAAAACGAGAAAAAAATGCATAAAACCGAAAATCTGTGTGTGTGTTGGTTTGTTTGGGCAATTTCAATTTTCATTTAGTATTTTGTCTTTTAGGTTTGGTTTCCTATGTATGTATATAATATGTATATTTAAACTTAATGCTTAACTAAATTGTAATATATTGCTTAAGAAGCTTAAAAATTATTTAATTGATAACAACATTTAGTGTTTGGTATTAATTTTTGGCGGGTTTTCTCTTTTCTTTTTCTTACTAATGCAAATAAATTTTGTTGCTGCATTTTTTTTTCCACAAAATACATCTATTCAATACATATCTAGCGATTTTGTTTTTTGTTCAATTAATGCCTAAAGCAGTCCTACGAATTCTTGGATTTTCACAACAATAGAAAACAAATAGTTGAGTTTTATTTTTTCTTTAAAAAAAAAATATTAGAGGTCTGTTCACTCTGAAGGTATTGAAATTAAATTCGATGGAATTGCCATAAACTTGGGACCTGTAGGAATATTCTGTAGCTTTTTTAACAACTTTACTCATTGCTTAAATTATAAAAAAAACATTTGTTTGTTTTGTTGACACGAGTAGCTAATAGTTACAGAATACACCTTCTGTTCCAGAACTTGCAAGAATTTATTAGTTATGCAACTTCTTCCTTTGTCATAAAAGAAAAATCGGATATCGTATTAAAATTTTTAAATTCTTGTAGGATCTGGAACAAGGTCTTTATGTTTCTTAATACAGTATTTGTATAATTCCAACAATACATGACTGAATTAAAATTTAAAACACAGTGATTTATAGCAATTCGACAAAATTTGATTTCAAATCTATTCAGAGAAACAGGATGTTGGTAACATTTTCCAATTCTTTTTTAAGGTCACTACAGAAACATAATATTATTTTTTAAAATAGTTTCAAAACTCAATTTTTATGTACTCAATTAGGGCCCAAGGCCGATAATGAATGATACATTAGGTCACTTCTCGTGGCATTATTGACACATTTAAAAAGTCTACCAAATTTTAATCAAATCAAAATTAAATAAACCTTTTAAATATTTCAATGATGCCACTTGGGACCCCCAGTCAGCCTCAGATCTTTTGCGAAATCCAGTTTACGTTTGTTATCCTTACACTAAAATTACATTGTCAGACCAGTGTTTCAATTCGTTTCATATAGCAAATCCTTTACTTTGCGTTTGTTTTTATTGTTTCCTTTCATTACAAAAAAAAAAAAACATTTCTATAAATAAAGTTGTATAAAAACATTTTGAATATCTGGTGTTGACAACAAAGCCTAAAAATATTTTTCAAAAAATTATGTGTATAGTATATATATTTGCTGTTTTCTGTTTTTTTTTTTTTTGAATACCAGCTACTTTTTTAAAAGCAACAATAGTTTTTTTTTGTTTTCAAAATATTTTGCACTTTTTTTGATATTTTTCTGTAGTATTTTCTTTTTTGTTTCTTAAAATCTACAAAATATATAATTTTAATTAAATATGTTTACATAGTTGTTTTTTTCTTTCTTTTGTAATTTGTTGTAATATGAATGTTTGGTTTTCAAGTATATCTTAATATTTTTTGACTTTTTCTTTTTGTTTGTTTCCTTCAAAGAATATTTGTGTCAAAAACTATTTTATAGTTTTCTCAGTAACATTTTCTTTTCTTTCAACTAACTATCCATAGCGTTTCGTTTGGTTGTTTTTTGATTGGGCATCAACTTGAGCAGATTGAGAAGCCATCGTTACCGGTTCTCAATCGAACAATGCCATGCTGGAGGTGGGCACAACTTCCAATAACAATTGCAGGAACAAAGTTACTTTGTCTGGAAAGAAAAGAAAATTTTTTATTAAAATGTTTTAAAGCAAAAAGGGGCTTACAACATTATTATAAAATTGTCAGGTCAAATCATAATTGTTAACGAATATTTTTATAAAGTATTTCTTGTTTGGGAATCAACGATGAGACGAAACTGTGGAAGTTATAATCTTGAAATTTTGTACTTGGCATTTAGGAAAATTTTACAGAAAGGGTACAACAAGTACTAAAATGTAGTTAAAATTATAGAATTTATATTGGACAAACGGAATGAGCTAGAATTGTGGATTTTAGAACGAGCGTCACTGATGGAGTGCAGGATAGATGTACCAAAGGAAATTTGGAAATTCGAACTTTAAGATTACAAAAAGTTCTAAAATGTGACCAAACTTCTAGAATGAAACAATTTGGTGTTATGTGAATGGATAGAAAATTTTGGTATGAGAGCCAGGGTTAGCAAGTAAGTTTGATATATAAAGTTGGTTTGGGAAATGTGTACTAAGTGTGCGAACTGTACTAAATGACACTTAATTTGGAACAATTGGGTTAAGGGTGAACGGATGAAGCTGAAATCTGAAATTTGGTATTAGAGTCGCTCTTCATATGTAGCCTGTACATATGAAGGTGTTTTCGGAAATATGTTCTATAATTGTACGAAAAGTATAGAATGGTACTATATTTAGTATTGGATGAAGGGATAAAGATAAAATTCTGAAATTTCATATTTAAATTACTGATGGTTTCTGTGTTTAAGAGTTTTCGATTATTTGGAAATGCATCCTTTATTTGTACGAAGACTACTAAATGGTACTAAATTTGATATTGGACGAAAAAAGTACTTAACAGTACTAAGTTTGGTATTGGCTGATGGAATAAAGCTGAAATCCTGAAATTTGATTTAGATGTTAATATTGGTGTCTGTGGTAATGTATACCATAATTGTCCGAATAGTACTATGTTTTTGGCTATTGGATGTAGGGATAGAGCTGAAATCATCAAATTTGATATTTAGGGTCTGTTGGTATCAGGAATTGAGATATGGAGGTGGTTTTGCAAATATGTACTATAATTGTACGAAATGTACTAAATGGATCAGTGTTGGTATCTGGGATGGAGGGATGTAAATTGCTTATAAAATTTGATATTTTCTAAGAGCGTAATGTATTTCAAAGTGCCTTAGATTTTTCTGTCCTTCCGTTGATATTTTAAATGGTCTAGAATACGTTTTTCTTTTCGAAAAATATTTTAAAGGACTTGAAGCTTATGGATTTATTTGATATGTTTTAAAAACCCATCAACCCCGAGTATGGACATTAAGAAATTGGACAGCATATGGCTTTTAGTTTCCACAATTCAGTATTTGAAAAATATTCTATTTTTGTAAAAGCTATAAGGGTTTTTGACTTGACAAAGGCTTAAATTTTAAATTTTTTCGAGATCGGTTTAGAATTAGATGTAGCTCATATAAATATATCTTTATCCGATTTCAAGTTGAATGTGACCAAATGGTTAATACAACTTTTTTTGCAAAGGGGAGTAGGGTATCATAAAGTCGGCCCTGCCCGACTTTAAGACTTTCTTTACTGGTTTATAGAATACTTTTAAGGATAATTTAAGAATACTTTAAAGGGCCATGAGAGGTAAAACATTTGAATATTTAAGGATATTTTTATGACAATCAGAGCTAAACCCTTTGACTATTTTGGAATTTTTGGCAGTAAAACAGACAAATTTCGTGAATTTTTTAAGAATATTTTTAAGAACTTTTATGGCTTCAGCCGTATATTTCTTGGTTCTGTCCGTTTACTTCTCCCAATTTTCAACTTACTCATAAATCTTGGTGTCATGCCCAGCTTTACGAATGGTATGTAAAATATCAAACCGGCAAATATGAACAGCAACGCATACAAATATTCAATACGTGGCGAATCGATAATGGGTGCCACCACCAGATACATGGAGATCACCAGAACCACAACGGGAATGATAATAGGCACTTTATATGGCCTTGGATAGTTGGGTTTGGTGAAACGCATCACAATAAGAGCCATCATGGAGCCGCCATAGAATATCCATGCAGTGAAACTGAAGAAATCAATCAAGGAGTCAATGGTGCCGTAGAGGACCATAGCAGCGGCAATGAGAGACTACAAAGGGAGGGAAGAAAATAATTAATTTAATTTATAAATAAAATTTATAAAATCTCAAGACTTACATGGAAAATTAGGCCGGGTGCTGGTGTCAGACGGCGTACATGGACATATGAGAGAATGTCCAGTAAATGGCCCTCACGGGATGCAGCAAAGCATAATCTGAAAAGAAAATTGAATTTTATTAATTCCGAAATGAAAACATTTTTTTACAAATTCCTTCCTACCTTCCAGCAGCAAACAATGTTCCATTGGCACTGCCAAATGTGCTAATTGTTACACTCAGGGGCATCAACCAGGCCATTACGCCCAATATACGATTGCCAAAGGTGACAGCCACAGCCTCGGACTGGACCATTTCGGTGGGTGACATTGCCGCCAAATATGAGATATTGATCAAGGCATAGCACAGTGTTACCAATGGTATACCAATCACAATGGACCTGGGCAAATTCTTGCTCGGATTCTTGATTTCTTCGGTGACATAGTTGAGATTATTCCAACCATCGTAGGCCCACAGACCGGTGTAGAAAGCCGTTGCCACAGCTCCAATGTTCGGTGTGGGTCCACTAAATGCATTTGCTAGATGTTGAGTGTTGCCCTGGAACAGCTTCCAGGCACCTCCACATATAACAATGAGTACAGCTACCAGTTTAGCGGCCGTAAATATATTTTGTACAGCCATGCCCAAATTAACGCTATAACAGTTAACAAACAAAATCATCACTGTTGAGGAGGGTGGTGTGGTGGTGGTGATTTTTTTTTATTATCGAGAGAGAGAGAGAGAGGGGGAGAAGAAAAGGAGAACAGAGATTAATGGATTGACTTTTTTCTTGTTGTTTTGGGATTTTTTTTACATTTTTTTGAAAAATAAATGGGGATTCTTTTTGCAGTTAAGTTATTTATTTTTTTAGGGGAGTTTCGGCGGGTATTTCTTTTGACATATACTATACTTACCTATTGCTACTAATGCAACCATTTTAACAACCGACATTGGTGGATCACATTCGGAGACAAATGCCTCGACGGCGTATTGTGCAAATGATAGACAAATAATTGCCATTTGCGATGGCTTTAGGACTAACGTTGATACCCATGAGAATAAGAACGCAGGTGCTGGTCCATATGCGTCCATAAAATATGCCCATTCAGCACCAGACGATGTATTCATTGTACCCAATTCAGCGTATGCCAGGGCACCTGTAAATAAAGAAAAGAGAAAGAGAGGTGTTATTATTTTTTTGGTTCGTTTGAAGAGAAAAAGAGAGAATGTGAAAGAGGAGAGTGGAAATGTTATGAAAAAGATGGAGATGACACAAAAATTCATTGTTTGTTCTATGAAGACAATAAATTCTGGATGTCCGATTAAAAATGTGGATTTTTACAAAATATTTCGGAGGTCCGTATATGTAACCATTGGTTTTAAAGAATAATGTTCGATGCCTACCTAATATGTATAAAAGATTAGTGAAATCACTGACTGACTGAGAATCAATACCCAGACGAAACTGTTGAAGCTAAAATCTTGAAATTATGCATGTGGGTCAATATTGGTAGGTAGGAGTAAGATAAGACTGGATTTTTTGGAAATTTGGGGTAAAAGTGTACTACAAGTAATAAAAATTTACCAAAAATTAAATTCATTGTATTGGATAAACGGAATGAGGTAGAATTCTAAAATTTGTAAATAGTACTATATTTGATACAGTTTGTCATTGGGTGAACAGATAGTGCTTGAAATCTGTAATTTGGTATTACGGTCACTGGCCTTGACATATGAAGGTGTCTTCGAAAATTAGTATTATAATTGTACCAAAAGTACTGAATGGTATTATATTTGTTATTGGCGGAAGGGATAGAGATAAAATTCTGAAATTTGATATTTAGATTATTGATGACAACTGTTTTGAGATTTGGCGGTGGCTTGGAAATGCATTCCTATATTAGCACGAAAAGTACTACTGCCTGAAATCCTCAAATTTGATACTGAGGCCTCTGTTGCTATTTGAAATAGAGATATGTAGTTGGTTTGGAAATGTGTACAATTGTAAGAAAAGTACTAAATTGTACAAAATTTGGTATTGGTGAAGAGGTGTGCCTGAAATCCTCAAATTTGATACTGAAGTCCCTATTGATATTTAAGATTGAGCTAAGGAGATGGCTTTGGAAATGTGTACTATAATTGTACGAAAAGTACTAAATAGTTCTAAATATGGTATTAGGTGAAAAGATAGAGCTAAAGGCGTGAAATGTTATATCGATATAAGATTTTCTCAAACATTTTGCATTTTGAGTACTAAAAAGGTCTTACATGAATTGTTGAAACAAATCTAACATGTTCAGGTGGACTTTTCGCCCGCGAAGTGGTGGGCACTTACTAGTCAGAACTACAATGAAGTTTCAAGGAATATTTTCCTAGGGTTATCCGATCTAACAGCGTTGATTATTTTAAAATATTTTTGATTGATTAAAAAAAAACGTGTATATCTTCAGCCAATAATCTGCAAGAGAAGGTGGTAGCTATATCGAATACCAAACACAAATTTGAGATAATTCTGTTAAAATATCTAGCTAAAATGTTCAAAATACCGAATATAGGGAGGTACCGTTTTATAGGGCCCTATACGAAAACATGGACTCATATATCCACTTATCTGCCAAAGAAGTTGGCACCTGTTACGAGCTCCAAATATCAACTTTGAGATAATTCTGTTGAAAAATGTAACTAAAATCGTAAAAATACCTGTATAGCTAATTTTCTGTCATTGGAGATGGGTACACCAAAAACTAAATTTGAAACAATGTAACACAAATCATCAAAATACCTAATATCTGGAGGTATATGGGGATTATTCCTAAACTTGGATCTATGTGGACAGATCTTTGCAAGTATGTTTTCAACATACTGGGAACATAATTGACAACAAATTCGGGTTTAAATTGTGACTAAAATAATCAAAAGAACTTAAATCTGCCGGTACAGTTATATGGGGCCTATACCAAAACGTGGACCTATATTTTCCATTTACATTTTCAATTCAAAAGTCCTGCAGATCTTAAACATATCTGAGTAACATAGAATTGTAAAGTCTTAAGGTGGGGGCGGGACCGACTTTATGATACCCTTCACCACTTTGCTAATTTAGTAGAGCTCCGCATAACAATTAAAAGTTTTTATGGGAGAATTCAATAATACACGCTATGATTATAATTATAATTTTATGTTCAAAAGACCAAACATGCCGAAGCATTCGTATCTTTTAAATTCGGGCTTGTATTGCCCATTTGGTGCACAATTAATTTGAAATCGGTTAAAGATACATATGGGAGCTATATCCAAAGGTATTTCTGAGCTGTATTTGATATATTTCCCCAAATATTGTTGTTACAGAGTGCATATTACTGCTGCGGAGGACAAAAATAGCAAATCGGATGAACAATATATATGAGAGCTATAGCTATATCTGAACCGATCTCGATCAAACTTGGCATACTCATGTTCAGGACTAATTTGGTTGTATGTGTAAAATTTCATACTTTTCGGGCTAATATTACACGTTTGGTGCACAATAAAATGCAAATCGGACGAAGATATAAATGGGAGCTATATCTAAATTTTGACCGATTATTTCCAATTTCAATAGGGTTCGTCCTTGGGCCAAACAAATGATATGTGCAAAATCTCATCTGGATAGGGCAATAAATGCGAACTGTACTTTGTTTACAAAAATACATGGATAGACGGACATGCATAAATCGACTCAGAATGTGATTCCATGCAGATCATCAAAAGGAACTATGGGTCTATCTCGTTTCCTTTTGCCTGTTACAAACAAATGCACAAAGACATAATACCCTAACCACCTTGTGGTGTAGGGTATAATTAACGCATTTCCGCAAGAGGTATTACATATCTCACATTCCATAGCATTCCCCCCAAATTTTACCCATTAAACATGAACTTGACAACAAGAGAGAGGTGAAATAATAAGAAAACAAAATTAAAACTATAATGAAACTGCATACATACACAAAATAAAATAATATGTGATTACAAACATACACACATTCATACATTTAAATAAGTATAAGTATTTATAATTACACATAGGATAAAGCATCTGACAAATTGTTCATTACATTACTACATGATTGTAGCCGTCACAGAGAGCGAAAAAGAAAGCAAAAAAAATTATACGTTTCGTTTTTTCATTATAATTCCTCACGTTCCCTGTTTTTCTTACCACTACCAAACCAACATCAATTAGTATTCTTTGTTCCATTGTCAACGATTTAGCATTAAGAAATATACACGTACATACATAAATACTATACACATGTACATGTGCGATTTTCTTTTAATTAACTTTCAATTTCTTTTCAATTTGCAAAGACACATGATTTCAACGAAAAACAAAACAACGAAACATTTATTTTGATATTCTATTTATCGCAAAGTACATTTGCCACCATCTTTTTAACCTTTCAATGTTCAATACAATGTCAAGTTGTACAAAGCAACAACAACAACCAGCATCCTTATTAACAGGCAGGCAGACAGACAAACAAACACCCAGTCCATTAAAATATTTGCGGTTTTTTTTACGTTGTAGTTTTATTCGATCTGTGACCAACAATTTTGGGTATTGATCTATCCCAAAATGAGGTGGAGCTCACTTAGCATCTCAAATTAATTGATTTCTACGTAAATTTGGTCATCATATCGCGGTGACATATTTTTGGCTTGCAGCAGTTTTTTTTTGGTGACATATATTATAACATTGTTATAAATAGCCAAATTATGTATTAAATGGGTGTTATTAAAATAGATTTGCATATTTTGAAAAATGGATGTTAAAAATAAAATTTATTTATATTTTTTAAGGTAAATGATGATTGAAAAAAATTGAATGCAATATATTTGTTACAATTTGGATAAAATGAGGCGAAAATTTTGCTAAAAAGTTTAGGAAAATTAATTACCAAAATAGGAAAATGAATGGTTCAATAAAGACGTGACAGTGCAATTGATATTGGAAGAAATTTGCAAAGTATCTCCTTGGTGACTCACTTTACGTGATGGCCGAAAGCCTAACATGGAAATACCTAAAGTTGTATGTTGTTTTGTACTTTTCAAAAAATTGTGTTTTTTTTTTGGAAAAATTTATTTTAAAAGAAAAACTCTATCTAAATACGTCTAAGAAAACATTTTTAATAAAATAATCACAATTTTTTGGCCAGGATGTTCTTTAACAAAAAAGGGTTAATTTTTATTTGTAGTTTACCAATGTTCATGAAATATTTCAGATTTTTAGCAAAAGTTTTTGTTTGGGAATGTTAATGCTCAGCAAGGAAGAAGTCCTTGAAAAATATTTTAAAAAAATAGCACCTAGTTCAAATTTCAGAAAATATGCGAGGAAATTGGAAGAATTTGAAGACCTAAACCGCATTATATTCGATTTATGATTTTTCAACAATTTGATAGAGATTCACGATTTTTATACCCTCCACCATGGTATGGAGTGTGTATTAAGTCCGTCTGTGGAAATTACTGTAGCTTCTAAACGAAATGAAGTAGGTTGAAAAAATTTCACTCAAATATATATTATGTCTGCAGGACTTTTGGTATTGAAAATGGGCCATGTATTTGAAGTTAGTGGATACTGGATACTACAGCATATGACAGACAATTGTTTCTGCTCCCATATAACAGTACCTCCCCATATTCGGTATTTTGATGATTTTAGCAATATTATTTATCGGAATTGTTTCAAATTTGGTATTTGAAGTTCGTAGCCTATGACAGAAAATTATCTGTGCAGGTCCACGTTTTGGTATAGCCCCCATATAATGGTATTCTGTAGTTTGATGATTTTAGCAACATTATTCACCGAATTTTTTTCAAGTTTTGCATTTGAATATTGTAATAGCTTATGACAAAAGGTCCACTTCGTCGTATAGCCACCATATAACCCTACTTCCCGATACTCGGTATTTTGATGATTTTAGCGATATTATTCACCGGAATTATTTCAAATTTGATATTTGAAGTTCGTAATGGGTACTACAGTCTAAGACAGAAAATTTCTGTTCAGGAATAAAGATTATTTATTTATTTAAGATCCTTATTCCGTGAGGTCCTTGAATGCAACATTTTAACAAATTTCCGATTTATAATTTGTTTTCGAATCAATGCTTAAATTTTTCAGAATCATGGTTTTTGGTCCTGAAACTTTATTTAAAAAATTATATTTTTTATACCCTACATCTTAGTATGAAGGGTATATGAAATTCGTCATTCAGTTTGTAACACCTCGAAGTATACATTTTATACCCCACAAAGAACATATACTTTTGATAAGCTTAAAATTTTATATCGATTTCGCGATGTCTGTTTTAATATGCAGGACTTTTTAAAGGCCCCCATATAACTGTACCGGCAGATTGAAGTTTTTGTTTTAATTGTGTTTTAGCCACAAAACCGAATTTGTTGTATGTATGTATGAGTATGTGTTTACAGAATGTTGGAAACATCCTTGCAGTCCATGTTTTGGTATTGATCCCATGCTTTAGTATAGATATCCAGATATTCGGTATTTTGATGATTTGTGTCACACTTTTCGCCGGAATTGCTTCAAATTTGGTGTTTAGAGTACTTCCCATGATAAAAAAAAAAAATTTCTATTTTAATGATATTAGATACATTTTCAACAGAATTATCTCAAACTTGGTATTTGGAGTTCGTAATAGGTTCCATCTTCTCTTTAGAGGTTCACGGTTTAGTGTAGGACCCATATAACTTGTGTCACACTTTTTATGGGAATTGTTTCAAATTTTGAAATGGGTACTAAATTACCCATACAGATCCACATTTTCGTATACCTCACATACCTATATTCGGAATATAGGTTCCACATAGAACCTATATTCGTATTTTGATGATTTTAAATGCATATTTTCAGAAGAATTATCATAAACTTAGTGTTTGGAGTTCGTAAATGGCACCTCCTCTGGCACATACTTGGTTGTAAAGGTTCGCGTCTTCGTATAGTCCCATATAACCATAACATCTGATATTTCCAATTTTAAAAATTATTGAGACATTTTCCGTCCTTTTTTTAATGGAGGGTTCGATCCGGCCAAGTTTAGCTACTTTTTTACTTGTTTTAACAGAGTTCTTGTAAAAATCTTCAAATATTGGTTAGGATTTTTAGTCAGGGAAGATCTGCTAAAATGTATGTATATACATAAACATCCACGAATATTATTAAAAAAATTTTAGCAAACATATTCTGATCAGAAATAAAATTAAAATGGAGATGTCGATGGAGTAAATGTTTGAAGTAAAAAAGATGGATTATTTTTGAATAAAAAAATACCTTTCACCGGAATGTTAGGAGTAGAAATTAGCCCTATTCATAATTTTCAATTAAACTTGATAATCGTCATTTTCATATCTTATGTGGATTCAGGATTTTTGAAAAATATTTGGACATTGGGAGTGAACCGATATATTCCCTTATTTTTAAAAATTTTGGCAATCACTTATATAAATTGAAACCTCTAAAGCTTTGACCATTTACAGGGGAGGTACCAGAAAGGGAGATGTTTCCTACATACATAGTAGATATGCAAGTTGCAGAAATATTGGGATGTGTGAAAACAATTTCTTATTTTTTCAGAAAGATGTTTTTATCCAAGATTTGAGAGTGATGTGTTCTTTTTCATCATATAGAAATATTTAATTGTACATAATTTGCACAATATGGAACGCTCCATATATGGTCATAATGTTAAGGTTGTAATAATGCATTGAGCAGTAATCTTGATCAATTCAATCTTAAAATCCAAACAGATTGGCTGCGACTTGGCGCTGATATTTCTCAAATGATATATGCACTTTCTGGAATATCTCTACGAAATACACAGTGGAATTCTGGCATTTAATGTACATTTTACATGAAAAAGTCATTTCTTGGTACATCGCTTTTCTACTAGTTGAGCAGAATAGCGGTGATCTTAATACATCTTAAAAATATGTAACTTCAATTCCCAAACCAAAAAAGTTTCAGTCTATCTTTCCTGATAAATCATTTATTCATATAGCGTTTCGTCAACACCACATATATATTGTCAAATGACAAGTGTTGTTTATACACAAATATTTCGTATCCCTGCAAGCATTTGGATGTGAGTTTTTAACTCCATCACCTAATATTACACTACTTTGTCGCTTCCTGCTTGTGAAACGTCGATAGTTGGTCGATTTGCAATAACAATTCTATTGCCCCACTACAGTCAACTAATTTTCATCTCCAATATTAACTTTTTTGGCACTTCCCGTAGATTAAAGAGCGATTGTTTTGTTTTACTCCCAAAACGGAGAACAAAATTAAACGAGTTCAGTTTGTCGGAGATCAGCATTGGTGCACGAGTGAAAAAAAAAACTATTAAATGAAAAAATATATTTAAATTATTTAGTAAAAATTAATTGTGACTTTTTTCAGTATTTTTTATTATATGTGTTCAAATAATTTTTTAAAAATTAAAAACGAAGTGATATACAAAAAAAAAAATAATTAATATTATTTAGTGAAAAAATAAAATTAAATTTTGTGTTAATAACTGTGTTTTGCTCATGCTTTTTGTATGCGTTTTACCTATTGTTTAATTACGCTTATTTATTTGAAATTATATTAATAAAGTTAAACAAATAATAATTTTAATTTAAAGACTTCCAGCTCTTTTTTACTTTCTGAAGGCATTGCATATCGCATACAAATCAATAAAGTCACCAACAGTCGATGAAAACCGACGCCTTCAATCTCGAATCTTTAACCAAAAAGGTAAACCGTTCGGGAAGAAATGAACCACGTTCTCGTTACTTCCTTAAATTGCCTTTATTGTAACGACTGAACGTTACTTAGTCGTCAATTTCATCTGCCACTAAAAAGTCAATGTTAAGAAGTAACGAGTGCGTGGTTCATTTCTTCCCGAACGGTTTAACTTTTTGGTTAAAGATTCGAGATCGCCGGCGAGGGTTTTCATCGCCTGTTGGTGACTTTTTAGTTATGTCAGCGACAAAAAATGCTTGCTGGGATATAATAACTGCATGTATACATATACATACGTAGGCATGTGTATGTGTGTGTGTTCATGCACAGTTCGTAGTATAAGACACTTTGAACGACACGATTGGCATTTGGCCAATTTTGTATTTTTCAGAAAGTAAAAAAAAAACAACAGAAAAAAATACATTCACAAATGCGAGTACAAAACGACCATGTACGAGTACATGGACAGGGTGGCGTTTATCATTTTATCAGCAACAGGTTATAGCCAAATAGTTTACAAGGTATTTGTCTGAGAGTATTTCTGTTTCTGTAACTGATTGTTGTGGTAGTTTTGCTTGATTCGCTGTTTATTGTGTTTTTTGTTGTTGTTGAGAGTCACATTTATTTGTAAGCATTTCGAATTAGGACAAGTAAACAAATGACATGATGCAGTAAATAAAAAAGGCTGATAAATAGGGTTGCCGTTATTGATACTAATTTTGTATTATTAACAAGGAAGGAAATACGTTTTTGAAGGAAGGAAATACGTTTAGTGGTTAATGACCTGCTCGTGAAACTGCAAGAATCTATTTTTGAAATGTTTTTTTTTCGTATGGAAAAATATATAAATTAAATTTATAATTCAAATCCTTGCCCAGCATTGGCATCCCTACGCCTTTAATACATGTGCGAGTGTGTGTGTGTTTTGTAAATATCTACAAGTACACTTGTTTGAATGCAAAACTCAAAAGATTCGACGCCTGACATGACCTCCATTGGGGGTTATTTACAATTCCATTTAGACACAAAACCCAATTGGCCCATTAACAGACGGCAATACCTGTTGATTATACGCTTCTAGTTTGTTGATTATTGTACTCTTGCCAACGACTGCAAATGAGTCAAGGATTATGCGGCGGGTGACGTTGCATTTGCAGGAATGTGATGGGGATTGCATGAGAGTGCAATGTTGTATGAGTTTCGGTTTCAGTTTGAGTTTGTTTGTTTTGCATGAATATCGACTTACCCATCAGCGAGAGCACACCACAGGCTAGCCATATTATAAAGCTTACACCAACGGAACCAGTTCTAGCTAGTAGACCAGAAGGTGACACAAATATTCCAGACCCTGGGAAAAGAAGAAAAAATATTAATACATTTTTAATTTCAATATTTCATTGGCGGTATTAATAGTATTAATTATAACAATTAATAATAATTTTTGTAATAATGATAATTATATAAACCGAATAATCTATATATATCAAGTGGAGAGAAATAATTGACTGATTGTGAATCAACGACCAGACGAAACGGCTGAAGCTGGAATCTTGAAATTGGGCACGGGAGTCAGTCTTGGTGCGTAGGTGTGTGTACTTTAAGGTAAGAAAAGTTCTAAAATGGTACTAAACTTCTAAAATGGCACAATTAAAATGGTACCATGGCACGAGAATCAAGGTTGAAAAGTAAGTGTACGAAATGTACTAAATGGTACTTAATTTTTAACAGTTTGCTTTAGGGAGAAGGTATGAAGCTAAAATTTTGAAATTTTGTGTTGGGGTCCCTGTTGGTTGTAGGTTTGTGATAAAGAAGAGGTTTCGGAAATATGTACTGCAGGTGATAGAAAATTACTAAATAGTACTATGTTTGGTACAATTTGGTATTGGGTGAACAGATAGGACTTGAAATTTAAAATTTGGTATTATGATCGCTGATCATGTATAGCCTGGAAAAGTACTGTACCATTCAGTTTGTTATTTGATATTGGGTGAAGGGATATAAATAAAATGATTAAATTTGATATGTCGATCAATTATGCCATCTGTCGATCAATGATAAGGCTATAGTCCTGAAATTTGATATATATGTCATTGTTGATGTCTGTGGTTAAGATATGGATTTGGTTTCAGAAAAGTGTACTATAGTTGTACGAAAAACGCTAAATAGTACTATATTTGGTACAATTTGATAATGGGTGAACAGATAGTGTTTGAAGTCTGAAATTTGGTATGAAGGGCGTTGTCCATTTGTAGGCTGGAGATATCGAGGTGGCTTTGGATATGTGTACTATAATTGAACGAAAAATATGGAATGGTACTATATTTGATATTGGGTGAAGCGATAGAGATAAAAATCTGATATTTGATGTTTGGATAACTGATGATATTTGTGTTTGAGATTTAATGGTGGTTTTTGGAAATTTGTACTATAAATAGTAAGAAAAGAACAAAATGGTACTTAATTGGGTATTGGGTGAAGTGATAGGGCTGGATTTCTCAAATTTGATATTGAGATCACTTTTGAGATATGGATGTGGGTTTTGAAATGTGTACTATAATTGCACGAAAAGTATTGGGTGTTGGTATTGGGGGAAATAATAGGACTGAACTTTGGTGCAGATGTCACTATGGTTATGATAAGGAGGTGGTTTTGAAAATTGTTCGAAAAGTAGTAAGTGGTGCGAAAATGGTTATTGTGTAAAGGGATAGAGCGAGAATCCAGAAAATTGACATGGATGTCACTGTTGGTGTCTGTAGCTGAGAGAAGCAGCAAGATTTGAATATGCGTACTATAATTGTTCTAATGGTTTGGTAATAAAAAAATTGCAGAAATTTGATATTTGATATTATCAGAAATTTTGATATCAGAAATTTTGATATTTGATATTAAGGTCAATATTGGTATCTAAAGTCGAGATTGGGAGATTGTTTTGCCTGAGTGTTCATTTAAAAATATAAGTTTCTGTTACACAATTTTTGCGAGGATATATTTAACCTGGTTAAATTTCAAAATAGCAAACTGTACCTTCTTTGTTTAAAAATATGGTCTGAACCTAGAAAATATCTTAAAACGGACGTTACCACTTTAGGGGGTTATTTAAATTTTCGTAGGACTATTTTTTGTTTAATGAGAACCTAAATTAGTAAATAATAGACAATTCCGTTGACCTTATTTAACCTTTTTGGCAGAGTGAACATATCAAATGATAGATCATTCTGTTGGAACTTGTGTTTGGACAATTCAAAATTCTGAAATCTACAAGGTATTCTAATACGGGGATTATGCCGAAACCTTGTTGAGCTATCCAGTCGTGGATACAAATTCCTTCCATTCAGACAAATTTTTGATTATCACCCTCTATGCCATATTATATTTCAGGGTGGTAAAAAGTATCACTTGAATTATGATTAAAAGTTTCAATCACCTCCTCAAAATATGAATATTTAAATTTTTTTTTAATCCCATAGTGCTAATGCCTTAATGCTAAATTTTGGCCTTGACAACTGACTAATATTTACGCATTTTTCTCGCGTCGTTCAACTTTGTGTCGTACAATAAACTTGATTCCTAATACCCAACAACTATTTTGAATTATGTCGGTTTAATAATTTTCACGATGACACATTTTTGGCGAACGCATATTGCGTATTTCGAGATCTCGTCACAATAATAATAAAAATATATATAGCTCATACGCCCCCTATACCTTGCATCAATGCTACGTATGATTGCTCCCATATCATTTCCATTATGAGTCTATTCGATCTCTTTATCGCTCTTTGTCTCCTACGTAAAATGTGAGAGATCATTATGTTAAGTAATATACCTGCCATTGAATTCTCTGTTCTCTTGCGTACGCTCTCTCTCAAAAGAAATGTGTTTTATTTTTATTGTGATAAACATAAATCACATTGTCGTATATATATCTGTGTGTGTGTACGTGAAAAATTGGGCCATAACATTAGCATGGGAAAATATTCATCCTCGTGATTTTTTCATTTAGACAAATTCATACATATATATTTATGTACATATAGACATTGTATACGTAAAGTATAGTTTATGTACGATGGCAATATTATTTATATGTATTCTTTTTAATATATATTTTTTTATTTTGTATACTGATTAAAAAACAACAACTGGAAAATGTGTGCGTGGGAAATCGACAAGAATTCGTTTTGTGTGCGTCCAAAGTCAAGTCATGTGAGAAAATGCGAAAATATGTGTATATATGTATATATTTTTTGGATTATAAACTGAACGTATGGATTTTCCAAAAAAAAAATCAACCTTGATAGGCTCGAACCTTGATTTCAAGAAATTATATATGTTTTTTTTTTAATTGTTCTTATATATTTTCTATCACCTATTAATATGTTTTTATATTTTTATATTTTGAAAATAATTTTATTTTGGCGTTGCGTTTTTTTTTGGCAACAAATGTCATGACATGTCACTAGTATTAGATTTGTTTCCTTAATTGTCGGAAATAGTTATTTAGTATATCACAGACTAAAACGAACATGCAATTTGCTTGATAAAGAAATGTGTGTCATTTATAGAATTTAGGTTTAGCCGACAGATGTGTACCCTCAGTCAATGTTCGATTTTCATGATTATTCAAATTTTTGACCTCTACGGAGTAGGTTCCGAAGGAATGGGCTAATATTGTCCATTTCGTATCGTATCCAAAGAGACCTCGGGTCTAAAACCGTTATTTCAATGAGGCACGTTTTGGCCGTATCAAATAATACATGTATGCCCTCTCTAGCCATATGGCTGAGGGTATAATGACGTTTTCAGAAAACCAAAAATTTTGGCTCAAAATTGTATACTATGAACTTTTTCAGTTAAATGAATTTTGATTTCTTGTTAAAATTGCTTTAAGGTGTATCACTGTTTTTATTATGTAGTATCAAAAGGAGTAAATCACCCTGGTGTTAATATTTTGACTTTATAATGTCCTATAATACCAGGGCTGCGACCACTCTGCAACCCCTCGAAATATTTGACTTAGTTTTATTGGTTGCTGATAGCATAAACGTCAAAATAGCCTAGATCTATCGCTTGTCTTAATATTTAATTTGTATCTTTTTAAAATGTATGATCAATCATTACTTACCTATCATAGTTCCGACAATTAAAGCCACCCCACTGAAGAGTCCCACCCGTCTCTGGAGGTGAACAGCGTCGTTCGGCGCTGAGCCCTTCCTCTCCAACGACTTCCGCATCCCCCCGGTCCCTGATGAGTCGGTCTCTGTCGCTTCGGGCCCTTCTGGCCCAATAGAACCGTTGGTACACGCTGTCCCCCCATTGAGCGCTGCTTTATTTGGCACACTTTGTCCTGTAAAAGAAATGAATAAAAAATCAAATATTAGTGGGTATAAATTAAATATATAAGTATTGCACAAATAAATGTGTACAACATTATCAATGACATATTCTATAAATTATTTATTTTATTTTTATTTTATTTAAATAGGTGTATTTATATTTATAATGCTTCTTCAATCAAATAATAATAAGAATGTTAAAGTTTTGAATGGTATTTCTACTGTATGGGTAAATTAATAGTTGATTATTATGACAAATATTTATCATTATTATTATTGTTATAATTATTATAATATTATTATTTTAATTAATTATTCTTTTGGTTTTGCGTTTGCTTTGAAATTGAATTGAAAACCGGAAGATTGGGATTTTTTAAATACTTCAAATTATTTTTCATATATTTCAATTAATATTGTTTTTATTTGATATTGTTATTATGCTGAAAAAGCCTATTGACCATTCCCCTAGCCGGGATGAAATCATGATTTTGATAGCGATCAGCAAATATTGTAATCAATTACGTTTTGAAAAACATTACTCTCTATAGATCAATATAAAGTCACGTCAATGGGGGGAATACCCCAAACTTAAACAAACTATTAATTTTAACGGTTCTGCTAATTTTAACGGTTTTTTAATATATTTTTTTCGGCAGGACTTCGCAGTAGGTATAAATCACTGAGGCTTTACCCTAGACAAAGAAAGCTATGGGCAAAAAAATTGTCTCATCTTTTATCTTCGAAAAATGTGCATCAATAGATGTCGTTAATGCAGTGAGAGTACTTAAGTCTATTCACTGAATTCTCTCAATACTTAAATATTAAATATTTTTGTGATTTAATAAAATTTATCGAGTAAAATAGTTCAACGACTTATTTCATGATTAAATCTTCCAGCTATGTCTTGAAATATAAAATTATATAACTCAAATAGCAAAAAACTTTATAAATTGTTTTCGAAGTTGAGTGAATTTATTAGCCCAGAGTAACTAAACTAGTCCCATGATCAACCATGGTCCATGGTGACATCTGCCGAGGGGGGGTAAACATTAAAACTTTATTTGTCAAGGAATATACCGATAAAGAGGATAAATCATTTGTCTCTGCTCCTAGTCAAAAATTTCTCTTTTTTATTTAAAATTTTAAACGGGTGGCTTCATTGAAAGTTTTGCCTCGAAATGATTTATAATCAAATTTAAAGATGGAGTAAACGGGAATCCCGTTGATATTACTTTTACTTTATTTCTTAATATAAAAGGTTATATATAAGGTTATTTTAGAATTTAAACAATAATATGATATTTTAAGAGTCGAATATCGATATCTCGCCTAAACGACTTTCTCTCACAATGTACCTTTAAATGATTGGATGTTGGTATACCTACATGAAAACTTTTCAAAACGTCATTGATATAAAACGTTAAATATTTAAATTCTCTTATTTTATCAGAATGGTGAGAAAAAACGAAGAAAAATTCCGGGATATCCACAAATAAAAATATCGGGACTTCTAGATCATCTTGTTTAACAAGTACCTCTCTATCTCTTTTCTCCTTCGATATTATTTGTCGTAACTTAATTATTATGTGAGTAAAAATTGTCCCAATAAATTCATTGAAAAGTCATATCACTGAAATTATTGAAAGAATAAGAGGTTGAGAATTAAACCACACACAACTCATGCATAACCCACCTTAAATAAGGAGGTATATGGGGTTACCTCAAAAAAAGTGACCCTGTAATGTCAATGTTGAATTTGGTCATTGTGATTAAAATTTTGATGAAAACCTAGAGATGCTCTAAAGAGTAGACTTAAATGAAACAATTTAAACACCAGCCATTATAGCAAAGCCGAAGTATTTGAGAAACACGGAGTAAGCCTTTATAAAATGTTTATATTTCTGTGAACTCCAAGTCATTTGGAGATATTTTCATATTCAAAATTTTAGGTTTTCTGAAGTCTATAAAATACAGCAAAGGGTGTATCATTACTGTTTACTCTCAATACAAAAGAGATCGATTTGAGAGAGACATTTTCACAGTTATTTTACTGAGCGCATAAATTTCTCTCCATTTTCTTCGGAGAGACATTTTTTAACAAAATTGTAGAATGGGGAAATTCTCCCTTTTTGGCTAATTTTCTACTTTATTTTTATGAAAACAAAGTTTTTTGTTCTGCTTGGCTTGTTTTCATGGCGGAAAAATTATTTTTTTTATAGATAAAAAATAAAACATTAGAAGCTGTCTATTCACTTTTTACAGTTTTGATTCAAAAGAAATAAAAATCCGAAAAAAATTAAGTTGCTGGACAATTCTTACAGGAGTTATAACAAGGCAGACATAATATTGGAAACTTCAAGTCTTTTGTTAAGGCTATCTAAAATTGAAAAAAGAAAACAAAATTTGGTTCTGACATCATCTGAAATTTTTTGGGACTTTAAAACTTCATCTAGATATAAGCGGTGAGATTAAAATTCTGCTCGATGCCCTTAGAGCTTTATTTTTAACGTTTATGAAGAAGCCCATATCCAAAAATAACTCTTATATTTTTATTACTCTACTTTCAAAAATGTTGAGCCGTTGCGGCATTTAGTTGAGGACCATAAAGAAATCGCTCTCGGGAATATCATTTCAAAAGCTCCAAATCTACGTTTAATAAGTTCTCGTTCCCCATTAGAAAATTATATCTGTAAAATATTTAAAAACATTTTTGTTCCTCATTTTGTCAAAAATAAAGTTCAGATTTCTATTCTGTAAATGTTTAGCTACAATACAAAGACAATTTCATCAAAAATCAACCATAAAGTGTGGATTGTTCATTCCTTCGAAGGGCTTTGATTTTCGCTGTCGGAGATGTTTAAAGGGAGATATTTGGGAGAAAACTCTTTATACATTTCCGAAAGAATACATAGAGGTAGTATGGAAAAACTCAATAATATCCAGTCATTGTTATATGCTTATTAACGTTCTTAAGTGTGGTCATGTCTTTTAAGGATGCGGAGCCATTAAATGTGATGTTTTTGTCAAAATCCAAGGAGAACGAGTAATTAAAACAAAAAATGTTTACAAACTTATTATTGGTATTTTAACACTTATTTCTCAATAATTGTTTTTGAAAAAATCTGTTTTTTCTATGCCGATCCATTTTGGCAAATTACAGTAGACTCCATATGTTTCCTAATTTTCCAAGGTCTAAATTCAAAATAAATTCAGTATATTTATAATAATGTCGACATATATCAATCGGCATCTTATAGCAGTTCAGCCTATTACAAAATTTTGAATTTGATTTTTTCACGACTTCTTTTCTGACACCCCTGTTTTGTTTGAACTTTAAATTTGAAACAAAAGTATTATAAACAAAAATATTCACTGATAATTTTTTTGCCACTTTTTTAAATATTTTTATAAAAAAATGTTACACTGCATTTTTTAAAGTATTAAATTTGTTTATTTTTAAATATTCTCACTTATTTAAAACCACACATTTTCTTTGAAAATATTTGGTATTATTTTATATTTTTTCCTTTTTAAAACTTTTTTTCTTCTAAAATTTTTATTTATTTTTTTATATTAAGTATTTTTCATTAATTTATTCGTTTTTTATATTTTGTTTCTATTTTAAATTAACTTTTTTATGTTTAATATTTATTTTAATTAAGTCATTTTTTTATTTTTTTTATTTAATTTTTGTTAAATTTTCTATTTGAGAATATATTTTTGAAACATATCACCTACGAGAATTTGTTTTTTTAATTTTTCTAAATATTTCACATAATTTATTTAGCAAAGAAATTTTGTTTTGTATTTATGTTGAATGAAATTATAATTTATTTTCCATATTTTTTTTTAAATTTTCTTAAATTACTAAAATATTTTTTATATCCATCCAAAACTTTTTTTTAACAATTTTTTTTTATTCTTTAGATTTTTTCAAGATATGATTGAAGAAGCATTTTTGATATTTTTTTCAATTTTTGTTTTTATTTCCAAATAAATGATTTTTCTATTTTTTTTTTTTAATTTTTAAAACCCTAGTAATGAATAATTTTCACACCTCTATTATCTGTTGAATTATGTTTGCATGCGTTTTTTGGCAAGCAAAATAGTTGGGAAATTTTATCGCGCATGGCATGGACGGATTACAAATTTTACAAATTATTTCGCCGCAAATATTCACGAAAATATTAGGCGAGCAACGAACAATGGTCTCTGAAAGCTATGAATAAACTGTTTTCCAACTTTTCACACGCCAATGACTGAGCCACCGGACGGATCTACTATGCTGCCAGGCGACAACACTTGGCGTTTCTCTTATCTCTGTAGATGACGCTTCTGCAAGGGATGTGGAGCAGCAGTAGAGTTTTTCTTTTCAATTTTTCCCTGAGAATTTTCACAACAACACTGTGGCGGCGAACACTGTTTGTATTGTGGGTGAGAGAGATTTTCTCTATTTTCCGCCTATTTATCTATCTATCAATTTTGTTGGCGTTCCACCCTCTCACACTTGTGTTTTTTGTTCTTTACAGACAATTGTCAATGTATTTGGTAGAAGGAAAACTTGGCCTATTCACACAACACGACGGCCAAAAACATGTAAGAAATGTAGCAACAAAAACACATGTAAAGCACTTTTGGTTCGTTCTACGACGACGACGATGATGATGACGACAATGACGTTGCCTCAGACAAAATGAAAATTCTTTTGACTATTTCCTTTGGCTTTCTTTTTGCTTTATTGGTTTCGGGGCGTCAGTCTGTATTTTCGCGCTGCGGGGGAATAGAAGGGTGATGCCATCACATAAATAAGTTAGTCAGTAAAAGAAAAAACTGTGTGTTTGAAAATTTTTCTTCTTTTTTTTTTCTTGGGGGCAAAGAGAGATTGCTTAAATTTTCAAAAATATTCAAGTATTTTTTTTTCAAAATCACATTCACAAAAATTCGTTTTTTTTTTCGAAATTTCCTTTTTTTGTATTCTTTAACACTTTTTTTAAAGAATTTTGTTTTTGCAAAGGCGCGTGTTATAAAATATATTTTTTAATGAGTTTCTTGTCTATTTTTAGGGAAGAGAGAAATTTTTGTCTAAATTCCGTTTAAATTCGCTGCTTTGGAATCATTTAAATATCTGGTGGAAACATATGGAAATGTTTTATCATCAAATGTTACAAATAATTTTGCCATTTATATTCAATTATTATGGCTGGTTGAATCCGAGTTTTCAAATTGTTTACTTTAATTTATTTTTTAAATTTAAATTATTTTAATTTTTTATTTCTTTGACTCTCGAATATTTCAAATGTAAAACTTGTTCCGACACCAAGAATCCGCTTCAATATCTGTTCGACAACTGAATGTGTTAATTTATAATAATTGCCTTCAAATACTCAACTGAAGAAATTCCTTCATTTAGTTTTCTTTATTTATTTTTTTCTCATCGTCTTCTTCATTTATTTTGTGTTTAACGTTGGTTCTTGTTGTTTTTGTTATTTGCAATTTATTTATTATTCTTTATTTTTTTATTATTGTTTTCTGTTGTCTTTGCAAGATTCTCATGTGCTGTGGTGGTCCACCACGTCTGTCTCAATGAATTGTTAACCAATATTCACTCAATTTACCCGAATGTGGTTTTTTTTTTGAGTGAAAATTCTGCAATGTATTCAATGAGTTTTGCGTACATGATTTTCATGCCGTACACCACATGAGTCGGTATATGCCAATAAGACGTTGTCTCTGGGTGAATGGTAAAATTTCAGTTTTTTAGAATGTAGTCTATTTGATTGCCGGGTACTTAACAGTTTTGACAGTCATCAACAAAATTTGGAACAATTCAATTCGTCTGAATGCACTTTGATATTTGTATCAATCACAACTTCCAAACATTTGGTATCGTATCTCTTAAAAAATGAAACGGCAAATAATTTTAAATTGATTTTCAGTACAGCAGACCTGAGTCGTTCAGTATTGGTAGTTTTTTTTTTTTTTTGTAATATTTTATATTGAGTTGATTGTATTGAACTTTTTCAATGAATTTGCCTTCTTCTTCTTTATATACAATTTAATTGAGTTGGAATTTCCTCCGTTTTCTAAGACATTAATTTGCGTTTGATAAGTCATCCGGAAAAAATACATACAGATAAAATTCAAATTTGTGTTATACAGACACAGAAATTATTCAAAAATGGATTGAAATGATCTAAAACAAGTTAAAAAGTATCAGTTGACAGATGTATAATCTCAGCCAATGTTCGTTTTGGTCTATCAAATGAAATATACCCTATATACCCATATGACTGAGGGTATAAGTATTTTAATAAAAACTTGATATATCGTACTTAATTTTCACACTTTCAAGGTTTTATATATTATTCAAATTTTTCCTTTTCCGGAAAGAATTATGGGAAAGTGTTTTCCTTTTTTTCCACCAAAAAGTCTTAATCTTATTTTACCAAGGAATGAGAGACAGAGACACAGTCCGTCTGCAAATCTTAACGATTATTCAAATTGTTAACCCTCTACGAAGTGGGTTCTGAAGGAATGGACCAATATTGTCCATTTCATATCGGACCTAAATAAATACGATATAAATATTGCGACGTGCCTGGTTTGATCTATATTGGTGACTTCATCATAAAATGCATATTCATCCTATGTTTTTGGTTGAGAGAAATATTTAGATTTAGCAAATCGAAAGAATCGCTGACTTGTTTCGTAAGTTATGGCAGATAAAAGCGTTGACAGTTGCGACCCTTTGTGGGTGAGGTTCCAGAAGGTGTTCGCACCTATATATCATCTCCACAACAGATCTTGTGTTAGCAAAAATGTTTGTATGAGCGAAATTTGAAGATAGTTGAATGCTTATTTCGCTTACTTTGAGCGTTTGGTTTCTTAAAATCATGAACCCTGTGTGGGGGAGGTACCAGAAGAAATTGTCCAATCTCTTCTTTGTGTTGATGGAAATATTGAGATGTACCAAATCTGAATGGAATCTGATGTTAATTTCTTGGTCTTCTCTATGGATAATGAAAATATTGATCCTTTGTGGGGGAGGTAGCAGAAGGAGAGAACAGATTTTGTGTTAGTAGAGATAATGGAATGTGTAAAATATAAAGAGAACCTAATGTATATTTCGGACTTTATAAACGTTTTGGTTATTCAAAACTGACCCTTTGTGGGGGAGGTACCAGAAGGAATGGTCTGATCTCCATCGCCATTATAACAGATCCTGTGTTGATAGGATTATTCAGATGTGGCAAGTCTAAATGAAATCGGATGTTTATTTCGCGTTTTATGAGCTTAATAATATGTATTCAAAATTGCAATAATTTGTGGGGGAGGTACCAGAAGGAGTGGACCGATATATTCCATCTTAACACCAGACCTTGGGTTAATAAAATTATTGGAATGTGTGAAATTTGAGGACAATTGGACTCTTACACCACATTTTATAAGAGTTGTAATTATTCAAAATTTTGACCCTTTGTGGGGAGGTACTTGATAGAGTTGACCATTATCGCACCTGACCTAGCACTGACGCAAATATTTGGATTTGCAAGATTGGAGCAAAATCGAATTATCGTTTCTGTTCCTGTGCAGAAAATATATTTTTGAAAATTTTGACCTTTTGTGGGGGAGGTACCTTATGGAGTGAACCGATATATTCCTTCTTAACACCAGACCTTTGGTTATTAAATTATTGGGACGTGTGAAATTCGAAGAAAATCAGACTCTTATATCACATTTTAGTTGTAATTATTCAAAATGTTGACCCTTTGTGGGGAAGGTATCAGAAGGAGTGGACCATCTTAACACCAGATTAATAACCCAATTAAATTATTGAGATTTGAGAAATTTGAAGACAATCGGACTCTTACATCAAATTTTATAAGAGTTGTAAGTATTAAAACTACTGACCCTTCTGTGGGAGAGGTACTTAATGGAGTGGGCCTACATTGTCCATTTTCGCACCTGACCTAGCACTGACGCAAATATTAAGATTTGCAAAGTTGGAGCGAAATTGGGTTATTCTTCCTTTTTCCGTGCAGAAAATATATTTTTTGAAAATTTCTACCTTTTGTGGGGGAGGTACGAGAAGGAATTGACCGATATTGCCCATCTCCGAACTCGATCTAAGTTTGGCAAACATATTACGATATACCAAATTTGGACCAAATCGGATACTCCCTTTGAGAGTTATCGTGCGCAGCAGCCAGACAGAAAGGCGGACGGACGGACATCGCTAGATCAACTCCAAATGTTCTGAAACGGATTTGATCCAAAGAGACCTAGGGTCAAAAATCGTTATTTCAACTAGGCACATTTTGACCACAGCAAATGATATGTGCCCTCTCTAGCCATATGGTTGAGGGTATAATAATGAACATTTTATGGAGCGGCGTTTTGGAACGCGATGCTTGTTTAGTATATATATTGAAAGCCTGCCAGTCATATTGACTACAAACTTCCTTACTGTTTTATATTAACATATGCGTATGCTAACATATTATATTTACTTAGGTGACAATTAATACAAATTAACATAAATTAATTAATAATACAAAAAATAAAATCTGATGAAATTTTAACACCATTTTACTTCATTCATCCCAGGCAAACAACCTTTCCATCATCAAAGACTTAAAAAACAATACAAAGCCAAATATCACATTTTTTGTTTATTTTCCTTTCTTTTCTTTTGTTCTACTACATATTCTAAAAATAGTCGCTTTGTGTGAAAGGAGAAATTCTATTTCTCACATCCAAAATATTGAATAAACATAAATATGCAAATGAAGAAACTAGAGCTTGAATAAATGTTGTTCTTCCAAAAATGTCTGCATGGAAAACATATCCCAGATATGCTATGAATGATGGAATTTGAAATCAATATTTCGTGTCACAAATTCACACACCCACACCTCGGTGCGAATACTAGAGCCATGCCAAAAGACTCTCGTACATACTCACATCTCATAGAGACAAATATGTATCCATTGATGTTGTTGTGGTTCATTATGCCTGTCATTTTTGATGACGTATGAGTACATACTTTAAGATTTAATTTCGTGGAAATGGGTTAAGGCGAAATGACGAAGATATTTTGACTGACAGTTTATTTAGGGGTTTAGATTTGGGACGGTATTTGATGTAATAGGAAACTTGAAACCATTGAGGTAGGCAAATCAATTATTCTGATGATGAACCAAAAGTGTGCCGAGTGTTATGATACAATATTGTTATATGCATACATACAGTCATGCAAACATATGTTTATTGTGATAACTATTAAAAAAATATCCAATTTCAAGCTTAAATTTCATAGACGTTTTAGTTGGTCTGAAAAAGTAAATATATTTTGATCAGCATGAAGTTTAGAATTTATGCTACAATGTCCAGACACACGTTGTCAAGAGAGAGGGAGTGCATATATTGCTTTATGTAATATTCCAAAATTTGGAAATAAAATTATTTTTAGGACGTTTGATATCGAAACCAGTAAAGAAAGTCCTAAAGTCGGGCGGGCCGAATTATGATACCCTACACCACTTTGCTAATTTACTAGAGCTCCACATAACAATTAAAAGTTTTTATGGGAGAATTCAATCATGATTATAATTATTATTTAAAGTTCAAAGGACTAAATATGCCGAAGCATTTGCATCTTTTAAATTCGGACTTATATTGCCCATTTGGTGCAAAATTAAATTGAAATCAGATAAAGATATATATGGAAAATATATACAAATCTGAACCGATCTCGATAAAATTTGGCAAAGATATTTCTGAGCTGTATTTGATATATTTCCCTGAATATCGTTGTTACGGAGTGCATATTACGGCTGTGGGGAACAAATACAACAAATCGGATGAACAATATATATGGTAGCTATATCTGAACCGATCTTCACCAAATTTGGCATACTAGCTTCTAGACTCAATTTGGTCGCATGTGCCAAATTCCATCCCATTTGCGCAAATATTAGACGTTTGGGGTACAATAAAAGGAAAATCGGACGAAGTTATATATGCGAGCTATATCCAAATTTGAACCGATCTCGATAAAATTAAGCTAATGTATTTCTGAGCTGTATTTGCTATATTTCCCCAAATATTGTTGTTACAGAGTGCATATTACGGCTGCGGAGGACAAAAATAACAAATCGGATGAACAATAAATATGGGAGCTATAGCTATATCTAAACCGATTTCGATCAAATTTGGCATACTTATTTTCAGGCCTAATTTGGTTGTATGTGCAAAATTCCATACTATTCGGGCTGATATTACACGTTTGGTGCACAATAAAAGGCAAATCGGACGAAGATATGTATGGGA